TGCCCAACGTGCAGCTCGAGGCGGGGGCCGGTGCCCAGCGGCACGGCCGAGCCCCCCCGGTGCCAGGAGAAGGACAGGGGACCTGTCCCCGCGGCCACCGCGCAGCTCAGCACCAGGAGGTCACCCAGTGCCACCCGCCCCCCGGGGGGCTGCGCCGACAGGGACACCCCCGAGATTGGGATCCCTGTGTGGGGAGACGAGGGGGATGGGGGACCCGGGGACGCTTGGGGGGAATCGGAGGGTGGGAGAAGGAGGCACAGAGAGGGGTGGGACACCTGGAGAGGGATGGAAGGGACGGAGACAGGGGACACACACCAGGGAGGGACGGGGGACCCCGGGAGGGGGGAAGGACCTGGAGAGGGGTGTGGGGACTGCAGGGAGGGCTGGGCAATTCAGAGAGGGAGGATTCGAGATGGATGCAGGGACCCAGGGAGGGGTGTGGGGACCCTGACAAGGAAGAGGGGACAATGCAGGGATGTCAGGGTGGAATGAGGGTAGCCAGGCAGGGCTGGGGGACCCGGGGAGGATGTCAGGGTTCCCCCATCTCGCACTCACTGCGCACCGTGAGGCGGAGCCGGGCGCTGCTCTTCCGCACCGCCCCCCCCTCGGAGCGCACCTCGCAGGTGTAATTCCCCGAGTGGGAGACCCCCACGGCGGGCAGGTGGAGCTGGGGGGACCCCTGCGGGCCCCCCACCAGCACCCCGTCCCGGTAGAAGAGGTGCAGGAGGGGGGCTCGGGGCCGCAGGGGGCTGGGGGGGCTGAGGCAGCTGAGATTGAGGGGGGACCCCTCGGTGGGCTCAAGGGGACCCTCCAGCACCGGCACCGGGAAGAGCTCTGCGAAGGAGACGGGAGAGTGACGGTGACCCCGAGTCAGCTGGGGAGGGGCTGTGGCAGTGTCGGGGTCTCAGGGTGTGGGTGTGGGGTTGCTCACCGTGCACTGTCACTGTCACCGGCGCCGACTCCTCCCACCGTGAGGACCAGGAGCCCACCCTGCCCCTACAGCGGTATCGTCCGCCGTGGTGCAGCTGCAGGGGGGACAGGGACAGCTCGGACCCCCGCAGGGGCCCTCCCACATCCTTCCCCTCGTGGTAAAACCGCACCCGGCTGAGCCACAAGTCCCACC